CGCGCTGGAAGTGGGAGCTGATGAGTGAAAAGAAAAAAAAGTCTTTGGATCTTTATTCTGCTAATTAGTTTCCTGCAAAAAATGGCTGTGATTAATTCAGTGCGCATGTGCTTCATTACCCAGGCACGACGGGAAGGGCTAATTAGCCACCTTCTGGATCAATAAGATTCAGCAAAAAAGAAAAGGGGGAGGTGGAGGGAGGCAGAGGGGAGGAAGGGAGGAAAAAAAAAAAAACCAGGGGAAAGTGATGAGCAGGGCAAGGAGAGCAGGAAGAGAGGATGGGAGAAGAGCCTAGGAAGAGGGAGAGAGGCACCAAAAGTTTATGCATGTATTAAAAACACATACACACACGACACGCGCGCGCACACACACATACACACACACACACACACACACACACACACACTGAGAAGTGAAATGCAGAGAAGCAACAATAGGGACCTAGCTAAGATTTTTTTTTTTAAGATTTTTCCTTTCTTTTTTTCTTTCTCTTTTCCTTCTTTCTTGTAATTTCCTTTCCCCCTCTTTTCTTTTTTCTTTTTTTTTTTAAGCAAATGCAACAATGCTTAAATTAATAGGAAAAGAACATCTTCAAAGAAGAGGGGGGTGGGTAATAATGGAGTGGGACAGCTTAAAGCAAAGGTTTAAGTGAAAGACCAGAGGCTTAGAATAGAGGCCACTTTAAATTGCAAATCCGTGATTTTTAAACGGAGGAAAATTACCTCCCCCCAAACCAGAGGAGGAATGAAGAAAATATGGGAGAAACTTTAACACATACCATAGACTATACAAAAAAAATATAATATGTTAATTTTCTCTTCCGAAATAAGACGCAATCAATCTTCTCTGGTTCTTTAGAAGAAGAGGGAAAGAGGGGCGAAGGGGATGATGATTAGAAGAAATGAAAGGGAGAAAGTGAATCAGAACTTAAAGGGGGGCCACTTTAGGAAAGACAAGAAAAGGAAAAGTTGCATTTAGAAACAAGTCCAACTTTCTACCTTTCTGTACTTAAGAAAAAAGTAAAATCAATTTTTTTGTGTGTGTGTAAAACCTGGAAAGCAGATGTTTTCAAAACACAGGAAGCTATTTTGTCATCAAAAGCAGGGATGTAATAAAGGCAGTGAAAAATAATTTCAGACTAAATTCATAAGAAAGAAAGCCAATATATTTAAATAGCGAGGAAAGGTCTAGTGTGTAGAAAGAGGGGAAATTACATACCCCTTCCCTAATGCGGGGGGGAAAAAAGTCTTACAGCTACCTCCAAGAGTTTGGAACAGAGTCTCAAAGCCAAAGGGCTTGAAATAAGAGGATGGATTTCAGATAAAGACTAGGAGCGATACATCCCACCAGAGCCCAAAGGAGATCCCTGGAATCAAAGACAGCAGCCAGGGACCCTGCTACTGTACCGATTCCCAGTACATCAAAGCCGTCACTTAGGCTGGTGCATGGTACCTCCAAAAAGCAAGCAAACAAATGCAGGAAGAACAGTCTCTCTCTCTCTCTCTCTCTCTCTCTCTCTCTCTCTCTCTCTCTCTCTCTCTCTCTCTCTCTCCCCTACTTTCAAATCCTAGCCTTAGCGTCACTGCTACTGCAATAGATTTTTTTTAATGACAACTGTGTATTTATGTAAGTTCTAAATATGAACTAGTACCACTGAAATTACAATGTCTAGAATAAAATAAAATGCAATCTGCACTTTTGGTGATCTTCAAACAAATGTAAAAACAACATTTATGTTTTTGAAAGCATTGGTAACATCAGGTAGAGAGGATGAATGCGCTAAAACTTATTTTTATCGGGGGAAATTTTTTTTTTTTTTTGCACCAGCCTACCACAATTACTTATCTGAGAAGGAATTTGGGAACTAATCAGGAAATCTGTTTGATTAGAAAGTAATTCTTCATTTTGAGAGCTTTTCCAATGCTCTTAAAAGCATGCAAGACTAGGGGGAGAAACCGGTTTGGGATTTTGCAGTTACCTCATCTAATCCTTCTGAATTCACTCTGGGGATAATGCTTTTTTATTTAAGGGGGAAGGGGGGGGGAAGGAAAATACACTTAGAAAAATCGGGGGTTTCCTCTCCATGAGCCAAATCTGGGTTGCCATTCAAACTTTTCCTGGCTGCTTTTCCATACGGGACAGCTGATCAATAAAGCCAAGTCCAGCCTGGCTTGCTACAGGTTTCACCAGTCAGTGCTTGCAAAACCTTTGTCATTTTCTAAAAATAAAAAAGCTAAAAGTTATTGTAGAAGAAGGGGCTTTTTTTTGTCCCCTGCACAATGTGTCTTTTGTGAGGTTAATGCCATTCTGGGCTCTCGATAGCCCTGGACAATGGGAACCCTCCAGGAGCTTGCAAAGACTCTGGCTTTTTTCTTTCTTGCCTTTTTTTTTTTTTTTTTTTTTTTTTTAAGGGAAGGATGAAACATTCCTACAGTCCAAATACAACCTCTACTTTGATTAAATAAATATTTATCTTTATTGTAGCCATTGTATATTTTTACCTTCAGTTTGTCTGGTTTCTGATTATTATTTTATATTTTTCATTGGCAACATTTAATCTTTTTTTTTTTCCCTTTCAGTTCAAAGTACAGGTCAGTGTAAAATGTAGCTGACTGAAGGAAGACTGGTAAATTCTGAATTTTTCCATAATACATCAGGTAAGGAAAATTGTTCAGACCCTCAGGAGTATATTTGTTCCTATTTATCTGTCTTCACAAATCTTCATAAATCTATTTATTTTTTTAAAGATGCAGCAGAATTAAATTTCTCCCTTGTAGATCTTGAAAAAAATCACTTAAATACTATGTATTTATTCTCTTTTAAAATGCAAATAGTAGTAGAAGTGAACTTGTCGCTTATTTCTTCTATGAAACAGTGCGGAGAAAGTCAATATCTTCATGGTATAAGCTATTTGGGGGGAAATTCTGGATATAAACGTATTTCATGTTGCAATATAAGAAAATGTCAGCTTAATCTGGTAAATACTTATGCTAATTTTACTGAGTGAATTCGTTACAAGGAGGAGAGGTACCAAGTTGTATGACTGAATAATGCTTAGACGATAATCCAGCATCTATATGGATTATTTTATGTACAAAATGAAAAAAAAAAGAGCCAAAAAATTTAGAATCTAAATCCTTCATTTAGCTGGCAAGAGGGCAGAAATTTTAGACCAACCTGTTTTTAAGACATTTACAGTGGGGAGGGAAAAATAGAATGTAGGCTAAATATTGCATTGATGTATACATTTCTCTACCTCTCGCTCAAGTGAATGGATGGATACACACACACACACACACACACATATATACATATATCCACACACAACGATTAATGCATAAAGGGGTACGTACATATACATTTAAATGACTTTAAATGTCTTTGCATCTTGTGTGTGCGTGAAAATATATGTGCACAAAAATATACAAGGTGTACATAAATGCAGGTGCTGTATAGGGCTGTGTGTTTGCTCTCTCGCTGGAGGTTTGTGTTTTCAGATCTATTTGGGGCCACTTCTTTTGCAAACATAACAGTGATATTGGTTTAATGATGAAGATGTAGATGATGAATTTGAGTAAAAATCTGCTACCCTGCAATTTTCAGAATATGTGTTGTAATGTGAGTAGCTTTTTTTTGGTCCAAGGACTAAAGATGCCATGGGCCAGTTTTAAGGGGGAAGGAAAGAGAAGGGGGTGTTAAGAGTTCACACTTTGGAAGAGCTCTGGGCCCTAGGTTTTTCTTCTACAGGGGGTTTGAGGACATAGAAACATAAAGGAGGGGGAAGAAAAAAGAAAATCCCGTGTGGAGGCAGGGGAGGTTGAAAGGACACCTCTGTACAACTCTAACGCTGGATCTAAGAGAGGGTTGGAGGGCAAAGAATGTGCGGGTCCTTTTTTTGAATGCGTATTGTTATTCTAAGTCTATTGTATGTACGTGTTGCTGTCCTTTCATTTGCCACGACAACATATGGATTCCATAAATGCAGACATGCCGAAGTGCATCTGTCTGGATAGTTAACACGATCCAAACATCCCTTCTCGTTCCGCTAACTCGGGCTATTCCTTGGGCTCCCCAGCAGTGCTCCGGCTGGCCGGCCGTGCCCCCAGGCTCGCAGCACCCCACAGTCTCGCCCTTTTGTGGTCTCTGCATGGACTCCAAGGTGCTGCGCTGAGGAAGCTGGCTACTCGCATTGCCGCGGTCAGAGGCGCCGTTGCCGCTTGCCTCTGAGCGCGCGGGGAGGAAGGGGTTAAGCTGCCCGAGCCGGGCGAAGGGGCTGTGCTCATCCCAGAGCGAGGTGCAGCCACCGGCAGCTGTGATTTAGGGGTCAAGTCCGAGATCACCTTTCTCATGCCTCTGGAAATGGCAGAAGATGAGGTAGGGAGGGAGAAACAGGAGTGAGCAGCAGCCAGGCGCAGCACGTGGCGCTCCATCCATCCGACCCCCCCTTGTCCCAGCCCACCCCTTGACCCCCAGACAAATCAGATAGTTCCCTTTGCTATTAGGGGTGTGGGGTGCGGTTCCTCTGAGTGTCCGCAATTACTCCATTTACCGCGGCTCTGTTCTATGGTTAGACCGATGTGCCCCGACCCTCAACCATCAAATCAGAAAGTTTGCTCTCAGTGCGCTAGGGTGTGAGCAGCTGGGTGTGTGTGAAAACTGTCCCCCATTTATAAGAAACAGGAGTGCCTCTGTCAGGAGGAGGAAGTTTGGATGTTGGTGCTAGCCCCTCATCCTGGAGTCTTGCACCTCACAATCCTAAACTCATGTACACAGTGGTGTTCATTACATGCAGCTTCTTGCTTTTTATGCTTATGTTCTCCTTCAAGAACTTTCTCTCCCCCAACTAAGGCAGTCTGGAAAATACTTTTGTCAAAATATTTTTCATGTCTGAAAGATAACCAAAAACCAAAATCAGATTTGTTTCTGAGTTGTTTCACTGAAAAAGAGCAAAGTGTCTGAAGTCCTTTTTTGTCTTGTGGCAGCGTTGGGAGAGCTAGGTTTGGGGTCTCAGCACCCAGGTGATGTCCTGGGGACCCTGGGGGCATGCAGGTGTTCACAATAGGGGCTTTCGATAAAACCAGCTTCCCAAAACCATCTCCAGGAGTCCCGGAGTTGGGGACAAGAGCAACTCTTTTGGAAAGTTACTCCAAGGGGGTGGGGGAGACATTTTTGGTGAAAAAAGAATTGGCTCGAAATGATAGAAAGGGTAAAAATAAATTCTTGGGGACAGGAGGCAGGTGGGGGGGGGGATGCATAGAGAAGGCAAGGAGATGAGTGAAAAGGAAGTGTGTGAAGCCGCCAGGGCAGCTCAGAGACCTGCACCACTGATGCTCCCACCAGCTACTAGGGTGAGGGCAAATCATCCCAGTTCAGCCTCTGCATCCAGAACCAAGAGCAGACCAGCTGGTCCAGAAGGCAGCTGAGGTCTGTCTTTCTATCCCAGCTGCCCCTAACCCTGCCAGAGCTTCCGACCTTCAGAAATCAAACCAAATTGGCCACTCCAATCCAGAGAGGTTTCATCCTGGGGGGAAAGGGGGAGGGGACAATCCTTTCTCCCTCCTCCTCCTCCTCCTCCTCCTCCTCCTCCTCCTCCTCCT